TGATGCCCTTGAAGTAACTTCAGAGCTTCACAGGACATGGAAAAAAATATATTGGATTACCATGTCAAGTTCCAAATTTTTTTTTTTTTTTACTACTTTTAACCTTGAAGTAGAGGGGAGGAGTTAATGAGCAGATTATTTTTCTAACAGGTCCTGGGTGCTATATAATAGAAACTGTTACACTTCTAAAGGATTTAGTTCTCAATTACATATACAGACTTTTTTCTCTCAGTTTTATAGACTTCTGCAGCTGTTGCTCCAGTCATTTATTTTTTACATCCTGTTTCTTTCCAGTCCTAAAACAGCATGAGTATCATATGTCTGTACTGAAAATCATACTCAGCAACCCTGTAAAGTGTTATATAACTTCCTCTTCCAGCCCCCTGGTCAAAGGGCAGGGACATTATACTTCTAGAAGTAACTTCTACCTGCTTCTGTAAGATAAACGGTGTGAGCAAATGGCTATTAAAATTCTTTCCCTAACAACAGCTTCCACCTCCTCTGTAAGTGTTTTTACTCCTCCAGTGACAGGGAGGTTCAGTATGTAAAGCATTATATTCTAGTGCATGTAGTTGGTACTGTAGTCAATGGGAGAGAGTTGACATGAAGTATGTGATCATTGAAGAAAACTGAATGATGCACCATGTTAAAGTTTCAGGGGAAGGCTTTACATAGTAGAAAATCTATTTCCTTTCCAAAAATTGGGGGAAATTATTTTAGTAAATACGAGTATGATAGTATAGTGTGTTAAAGGTAAAGGTAAAGTTGTCCCTGTGCTTAACTGATTAACCACTACACTTTGAAGACATTGGGGAGTGGATGTATAAACCCACGTTTTCTTGACCTTCGGCACTAGTTGGAGGTGAATGGTCAGCTTCACACTCCTGCCACTTAACCCCTGTGGAAGTAGCCCGTGGTACCCATTGGATAGGAGGCTTGGTGGGCCCCAGAGCCAGTCTGGATGACATGGAGAAATTAAATTTCTTGCCCCCACAGGGACTCGAACTCCAGCCCCTTTGTCATCCAGCTCGTAGCCATTTGCTATGCTAACTGCGCTATTATGGCCATGGTAGTATACTTTATACCTAGACTATACCAAAGTAAATTTCTGATATCTGTTCTTAGAAGTTGTGGGACATGTAGGCAATTGTGATGCATGCAGTTTATTCAGTATCATGATATAAGCCTAGATGCAGACCACCTTTATATGTAACCACATTTAACCAGTTCCACATTGAAGGCTGCAAACAATATGAATTTCAAAGTGTTCTTATACTCCTGATGTCAACAACAGTATAAGTTTGATTGCAGTGTGGCCATGAGTTTGGAAGTAAGCCAAGGCTTTTGGAACATGAGAAACTTCATAATGATCAATTAACAGTGGAGGAAACGAAGCCATATGCCTGTCATCTCTGCCCAAGGAGATTTTCACATAAAGGCAAGCTGAGTGCACACATCAGAACACACATACAGGTGGGCTCAGTCATAAATCTCAAACATCTTTGTTATTTTGTGATACTCTGTTGAACCTTTCAACAATTTTATGGTTTCGGTAGGAAATATTTACTTCTAGAACATAATTTGATTTTGCAGTAAAGATGTGATATGGACTGGATTCATCTGGCTCAGGATAGGGACCAGTGGCAGGCTGACTTGAGCACAGTAATGAACATTCAGGTTCCATAAAAAGTGGTGGGAAATTCTTGAGTAGCTGAGCAGATGTTGGCTTCACAAGAAGGGCTGGGCTTGACTCAATGGAGGTAGTCAGGAATGGCATTTATTTTAACTAAAATCTGTGGAGCTGAAACTCTTCCATGGGACTTGCTGCTTTTGTATCTGACCACCAAGACTAAAATTTTATGCTACTTTGATGTATTTTTCACTGTATATTTTGTACATTTAGCACAGAGTTACTGAAAACTTGATTATTTTCTAGGAACCAGGCTATGTGTGTAACATTTGTGGAAAACGTTTTCATCGTAAGGATGTCCAGGCAAATCACATGTTCCTGCATTCTGGCCAGAGACCATTCAGTTGTGCACATTGTGGTAAAGCATTTGCATCAAAGTCAAATTTGAGCACCCATCTGGCCACACATCTAACTGATGCCGGTTGTCAGCAAGTTGAGTTTCTGTGCCCTGAATGTGGCAAGAAATTCCGGCATCGCAGTTCCCTCACCCTGCACAGGTGATTTTCCAGGCAGATTTGGCATGCTTAATCATATACTAGACTTAATTGTTTATTGGTCTGTCAGAAAATGACTACTGAAATGCTGTGGACCAGAATATATCCACAGGCTGATAATTTGTTATAGCTTGATGTGTAAGAGCTCAAAGATGTTACCACAGAGATCACAGTTGTCGTTTCCCATCTATGTGATATGATCTTCACAGAAATCACTTCCATTGAAGACCATGTTGACCTTTATCATATGATAATAGGGATGTAAATTGTGATGATTGTCAGCTGGATTTTAACCTTTAAACGACGAAAGACACCGTATGTCGTTGCAGATAGTAAAGGCAGCGGTACGAATGACGCCATGTGGTGTCGCAAAGTCCGCGCGTGTGGACGTTATTTGAAATACATTTTTAANTATTTATGTCAGAACTGTTCCTGTTAAAATATCCCAGTAAAAAAGGATTTGAAAGAAAATACATTACCAGATTTTATAATTTTATTCTGTATGCATATAAAAATTGTCTCTGAGAAAGTTTATAGATTCTTTGAATAAAACAAAATATTATGTATGTACATCGAAGTGTACAGCACTTGCCTGTACACTTCTTGAAATGTTATCCTTCTCATGTTACAGTAGAAGTTTACATTTCTAGGAGGAAATCACAGGTATGCAGGCCAGCTTTGCACTTAGAGCTGTGAAATTTAGTACAGTGGAAGTCCAACATAATGAGTGTAGGCAACACTAGGAAAGTCATTCTATAGCTGATGGCAAGTGCTGCCACTAATAGGTACATGTCTGAGCTCTGCACAGTAGCAAATGACAGATTTGGTGAGTGCAGAACTGTTGTGCCTTAACTGAAGTAGTGGTCAGATACCTCATCACATGGATGGTTGATAAATTCTTTGAACAAATAATCAATATGAAATTTGTGTTGTAAAAAAAAAAACAACAGTCATTACGGGGAATGAAATTTAGGCTTTTCAGTATGACTCTAAGATAAAACATGTAGTGGAAATCTTCAGGTTCACTCAACCCCAAGAAATTATGGATATCAGAATGAAAAGGCATGACAGAATTGATTTGTTTCTTTTACTGCAAAAGGTACTGGACTGAGAGTTTTGTTCCCACCTAGTCAGACTGTCAGCCAGAAGTTTTATGTCCAAGTTTTGGTATATTTTGAGACAGCAGGTTCATTGTGTGGAATCTGGGTTCTCTGATAAGCGGATCCTGCACCAAGAAAATGTGTGTGTCCTCACACATAGTTCTTTCTATCAAGGAGTTCTTGATGACGAATTCATCATGGTCATGAAACACTATGCTCACTGACCATATCCTGGTCCATGTGACATCTTCTCCACAATGAAGAATCATCTCAGGGGATCAAATTTTGAAATCATGGAAGAGATTTAGAATGTTGTGACAGTCTAACTTCTAAATAACTTGCATTAGAATTACTTTTGTCAATGCTTAAACAATGCTGAAGCTCAGGTACAGGTGCAGGATGGAACTACTTTGAAGGTGACCATTGCAGTTCGGAATAAAATTTAATACATTGCTGCATGTGAGTACAGTGTCATTATTTAATTGTCAGGCTCTGGAAGTCAGAGATCATGACAACCTGATCAGACTGTCCTTGTAACTATGGCAGACATTAGGGGCAAACCTAGACAGCTGGTTTGTGCCAGGGACTCGGATTGGTTAACGTGAATCTTGTATGGGTGTGAGCCAAAGGAGGTAATTTTGAGCAATTTCTGTGAAAAAATATAAAGAAGTTTCAAATTACAGGGTTTTCAGACTTTTTCCATCATCCATTCTAAAAACCCAGTATTTCTGATTGTTGTTCATCATCGTCAGAACTATTCAGAATCAATATTAGAATCTACATAGAACCTTGTGCGAGTCCCCCTTGCATGGCCAGACATTTGTATTAAATGTAATGTAAACGTCAAACTTAAAAAAAGGAATTATATTCAGAATCTTTGCCTTTGATTTGTTTTAATTAAAGTTAATAAATAAAAATGTTAAATGTAAATGACTGAAATTATGGATCAGTGGACAGTTATTTCATTTTTTTAACAAGAGGTTCTTGGGAGTGATTAATGGCTTACTTCACTTTAATACAACACAGACTGCATATAAAACGATGTCTCCAACAATTCTTTGTTGGCACAGGAATATCTACCAAGTTGTTACCTAGCAGTGGTAGGGGTATAGACAGACCACAGATTGTCCTTTGATAAGACATGGACCAGACAGAAATGATGCGTCCAACAATTCTTCTGTTGTTGTGTGTGTTCATTGACATGGGAATGTGTTTACTAAACTGTTGCCAAGCACTGAAAGGAAGGATACACTTAACTGAGCCATTGCCTTGCAACAATAGAAGGGGTACACATTCCAGCACATATGACTGATAGGAAGGATTTATAAGAAGCACACTGTTGAGATGGGAGAGATTTATGAAGAAGCACTGTTGAGATGGGCTCAGTTGCCATGGTATACATACCAAGTTTCGTAAAGATTGGTTCAGGCATTCAAAAATTGATCGAGGGTTACACAGACAGGATGGTAAAAGGTCAAAAAAGGTAGAGCTATCTCTTTAAGAGGCAGTGGAGGGCCGTAGGGTTATAAAACATCAAGGCTTCCATGTTTTCTAGACAGGTGGCTTATAGTTGAAGGTGAGCTTGTCAGCCTTATGTACCGGCCACCCTTTACCCCCAGAAAAATTCCTGGTACTCATTTCTGTTAGAGGCTGAGTTGACCTGAGGGCCATAGTGCAACTGGAAGATTACGTAAATTGAAAAATCCAGTGACATCATTCGGAATCAAACCCTCGATCTTCTGGCTTTTAGCACAGTTCTTTACCCAATTATGCTACCGCGATGAAGCAAGCAATAATTTACATACATTTTCTACTCCATTTATGCAGCCTCTTAAATTTTGGTTGTAGGACTTCACTCTATATATCAATAGACAGGGTTCCATTGCAATATCTGATATAGGCTGGCCAAAAATAAAGAGAGAAGTTTGTTTCACGATCCTTGTGTTCCAGTTCTTAGCAGTCATCCACATGAATGCTGTTGCAGTAATGAAACACACAACCAGTAAAGGTTAAGAATTAATTTAAATTAGTCTTCAGTAAAATTACAGTGTATAAGTGTTTGTCTTAAAAATAGGTAGATGTTTCTCAGTTTAACGAATCCAGTTTGGATATATATGGGTTTTCGGTGATGAAGTAGTACTTTGTCGTCACGTTGTGATTTTAAGATATAAATAATACAGTTCTTGCACTCTTTTAGAATCATTCTCCAGAAAGTGAATTTCCATAGAAATTATATGGTATGAAATAAAAGCTTGTTGTTTCTGATCTTTCCATTTGTTTTACTTGTATCTTTTATCTGCATTGTATTGAATTCCAGTAAGAGCCTGTGACCTGATTCATGGAATGGCTGAACCACCCTCATATAATATAGTTTTAACCATTTTCATCTAATTTATTTGGTTACAGAAAGGCACATACTGGCCAATTTAATCATGCATGTGCTACTTGTGGGAAGAAATTTATGAAGAAGAGTCATTATGAAGGTCACATGCGTAGCCATGACTCTGAACGTCCATTTCAGTGTCCAACTTGTGGTAAGGGGTATAAAGAACGTAAACATTGTCGTGAGCATGTTCGAAGGTTACATCCAAATGACTTCAATTTGGTAACCTTATTTGCTTCCATCACAAGTGAAGATGCTCAGGTAGCTGATATGCTTTGCTCTGAGCAGGCAGTGACAACACTACAGTTACAGAACCCTACTGACCAACATTCTTCTAGTCTTCAACAGAATTCAGAGCAGCATCAATCAGCTTCTGATCTTCACTCAGATTTCATGCTGGAACAGCAATCTGCCACTGCTGTTAATCAGACCTCATTGGTGGTGAATGAATGTACTTTACCTTCTCCTGGCCTGCATCTCTTTCCAGCTGTAGCCCTGTCAAACCTGGACCCCATTTTACAGGAGATAGGTCAGATACACACTCAGCAAACCCAGTTCTTGAGCTCAGCAGTGGATGAAAGACAAGGTGTAACAGCAGCAGAGAGTGTCGAACGCAATGTTCAGTGTCAGGCAGTAGTGGCAAATACTAGCACAACACTGGCAGTTTTGTCAAGTGAGGACACATCAGTATTATCTCAGGGATTGGAGCCATAATCTACAAACAGGAACTTAGTACTGAAACAGGTAAGCAATAGGTCACTTGATATTATTGTATCAGGTGTGAGATTGTGTAGCATTAATTAATTTTTGAAGTCTGTAGATAAGCAGTTCTGCAGTCATGTAGGTTGTAAGATGTTATAGAGTTTCTCTCTTTCAGTCCTATGTTTCTATCTTAACCCTTCACAGAGAAAGATTAGAGATACGTACAGCATGTAGTAGTAGGTAGTAGTAGAATGGGGTAATGGATGTATAGATCCACATAGTGAAGGTGTTCCATATCAAATTTCAACAAAAGTTATGGAAATGTTTGTGGGATATATGGAAAAGTCCATTTATGGCCTTACACAAACTAGTCTTTCTTATGGGTCAGTATGCTGGAAACTGCCATTGTGCACAAATTTCTTGTAAAAAAATTTCACGTATTGAATTTGAACAAAATCTGTGAAACATTTTGTGGAATATATGCAAACATCCATTTATGGCCTTATGTGAACCAGGCTTTATTATGGATTTGTGATGAATAAGGGTTCTGAACAAATTGCATTTTTATATTTTATTATAACTTTTTATATTTTTAGCTATGAAATTTCACAGATTTCATAGATGTGATTTACGATTTATTTTGTTGCTCAAGTGATTACATTGTAGCAGCCACTTTGACTGTAGTCTGTAGATCAGCAGTTTTGCAATCTTTTCACATAAGAATAACTTTGTTGATTTTCAAGATAAAACATTCTTAATTATACAAAAAAGAAGGTATTTTAATGCATTTTAACTTGCATTGCATACGGAAAATAATATCAGTCAGATGTCGTCCTTGCTGGACACACATTTGGAGCATCTCCTCAAAATTCTGCATCACATTCTCCAACATGTCTTCCGGCACAGCTATGATTTCTTGACAAATGGAAAGTTTCAGCTCTTGGGTCGTTCGTGGTCTGTTCATGTACACTCTTGCCTTGAGGTATCCCCACAAACCGATAGATCAGGGGAGCGTGGGGGCAAGAAACATCACCGAAACAGAAGATCGCATGTTGGGAGAACATGCATTGAACAGCTTCCATCGATGCTCTTGCTGTATGAGCTGTGGCACCATCCTGTTGGAACCACATGTGTCTCATGTTTACCCGATGCCTTAGGAGTTCTGGATGCAGGAAGCCGTTTAACATGTCAACATAGCACACTGAAGTCACTGTAACTGCAGTTTCCCCTCTTCAAAAAGGTAAGGACGAACGATCCCTAACTTAGAAATACTGCACCGCACTGTCACTTTTGAGCTGTGGAGAGGTATTTGGTGTACCTCTTATGGGTGAAACTTTCCATTCGTCAAGGAATCGCAGCTCTTCCGGAAGACGTGTTGGAGGATGTGATGCAGAATTTTGAGGAGAGGCTCCAAATGTGTCCAGCAAGAAGGACATCATCTGTCCGACGTTATTTTCTGTATGTAATGTAAGTTAAAAATGCATTAAAATACCTTCTTTTTTGTATAATTAAGAAGGTTTTATCTTGAAAATCAACAAAGTTATTCTTATGTGAAAAATATGTGTTTCCTCTGATCCACTCTGTATTAATATTTCCAGTATGAGGACTTGTTCTCTGTTGTTTCAGCTTTCAAGGTACAGTGAAGATGGAGGCAGTATGTTGCTCCAGGACAGCAGTAACCATCTACCAGACTACATAGCATCATGTTCCAGGAAACAGTACCTTCAACTGTTGTGTTAACAGACAGGAAACTAAAATATCCTTTTTGGATATTTACATAAAAGAAGTTGAACAGTATCAGAGCTTGGCTTGAACGTTTGCTTCATAAGCCTCTTAAATGCCTTGCACAAGAAATAGTCGCCATGTAGCCAGTAATTTCTGTCACTGGTATCTTCAATTAAGTTTATGATGGCACGCTTAATCCCGAGTTCAGATTTTTCAGAAGAGTCTCTGTTCTGTTTGAATGGACATGTGAACAGAAAACAGTGGATAGCAGAGCACTAGAAATTTACGTCTTATATGCAGAGTTCATCTCCACGAAGTACAAGTTGATGTTTGGTGTCCCCTGAGTGCAAGGAAGATTGTGGGCTCTGTATTTGATGCACCTACATTCAATTCTGAGAGATGTCTACTGTAAGGGACCAGTAACCCACTATACATTGTTACAGCTGCAGCCACCCAAGCAAGAAAGACAGCAAACAACCTATGGAGTGAGTATGGATGGCAGAAAAACCATGCCCCTGCACAGTTACCAAATATCCTTCTTGTATGTTCTTCATATCATTTGGAACAGAATATGTATTTACCTCAGCATGGAGCTGTTTCTGGGTCCTTTGAATTTTTTCTGTCTTTGCAATCCAAGTATGATTTGCAATGTATCTTTCATATGTCTTTCTGAATGGGGAAAATTGCTGATATGCTGTATATGATGAAAAGTCTAAGACAGGATACAGTCCCTCTTCATAATGTTGGGAGAATACCTTGATTTGGCCATGATTGCTTGGTTCCCAGTCCCTTCCAGCCATCCTACCATGTGATGCTGTATAGTCTGAAATACTGATAATGGTATAAAATAAATCCCAAGCTAGAACAAACCAGGAGTTTGTTCCATTAATTCTATACATTTCTTTCTTACTTTGTTTTGTTCATATTCTCTTCCTTCATAAGATTCCTTCTCCATGCCTAGACATTCATCTGAAATAAATAATCAGTTTATTGTCAATGTGTACAAAATATTGTCAGCATTGTGTTATTAGAGATGGTGAAGATATATTGCTGCTGCCAGTGTTGATGATGATTGTAATAACAACTCAGGAAACTGGGAAAGGTAATTGATGGTGGCGGGTATAAATTTACATATGTTTCAGATTTCCATACAGGAAACATAATTTGCACAATTTATGGAAAACCAACCCTCCCTGAAAACACAAAATTGCTGTCTTAATGAATGCAGCTACGTGTTTTGCAAGACTCAGTATCTGAAAATGCTTGTGCCACAAAATACTCCAAGGTTAAAACTGAGATAATGCAAGAGTGCTACATTGGAGGAAGTGACATAAATGTACATAGATGGCAATGTTGCATCTGGTGCCATTTGATAAAAACTTGAAAATTTAAAGCACATGGGTCTCAGGCATAATGTGAGCCTTGCCAGCTTATGTAGGGAGCTGCTTTTGTGATTGTTATGTTTGTCATTTGTTAGTGAAGTGTGAAGGTTGTACTGTGAACTTTGAATATCAAATATCAGTGAGACAGTGAGAACAGGTGCAAGCAGACTAATGTTGGAAATAAACTCAGCTGTATGAGAGCAGGGAAGGAAGGGGGACAAGTCTACATGGGAAATCAGTGGAGAGGGAGAGGGAAAGGGTCTGGGACAAGAGCAAGGTTAGCACAGGTATTGGATATTGTGTCGGGGGAGAAAGGCAAGGTTAATGGGAGGGCATTAACCCTTAAGCTCGGGGGTTGCTATGTGAGTCGGTCATGGAATGTGTGGCCTTGTGGATCTGGCATCATGTCCCGGGGTGGGGGTTTATGGAACAGATGAGAGGCTTCCATGACTTGTTGAGACCCCCCCCCCCTCTGTTCATATTGTCGGGATGGAGTTCAATCTCAATGGCTTCCCTAATGATGCAATCCATATATTGGGTCATGGTGGCGAGGATGGAGGTATTCTGAAGCTGAATGCGGTATCCCAAATCAATGCCATGTTCAGCTACAGCTGAGTTGTCCCGATGTTCGAGACGGATGTGCCGCTGATGCTCCTTCAACACGCTGCTCAAAAAATTCCAAATAACCATACATAATACACCACTGTTATACAACAACAACATAGCATAATGATGACACACAAAACATCAGAGACAGTATGTTGAAATGGGAGTAGCAGCATCAACACACTATTAACTAATATGAGAGATACATTCATGCCCACAAAGTGTGCTAAACACCAAGTGTTTCATAATGACCTTTATCTTGAACCAGCTAATAATCTCATTAAATTAAAACATCCATTATTACAATACAATTTAAGTCACTTGACACCCATATATTTCTTAATATTAAGAATATTCAGATAATTATTCATTTTACCTTATCCTGTACATGTTAAGATGAAACACTGTTGGAACTGGATCAGTTTTCCAATGAAAATTTATATATGCAATTCTTTAATTTATCTCGTATATGTTAAAATAATTTGATGGTCAGTAATGATCGGAACATGTCGTATCTTAAAAGTAAAGTCTAATTAGTTGGTATTTGCAGATATACCACCTAGAATTTGTTGTGTAGATGGTCAGCAATTATCATAAAATTACTAGCACATAATGTGATGCAAAAACTAGGGATTCCTCTCTAACCATTTGACCACATTTGACTGCCAGGCTACAACATAGAACTACCTGGCAGATATGCAGGTAAATGGATAAGCCTACAATACTTCAAGTGACAGCATATACAGATTACATGAAAGCCTGTTCTTTTGACCATGTCACACTTGATGCCATCATTTGACACAAACGCTGTACTAGCTGAGTAAACATGAACTGAGGCCATGCCATAGCTCAAGGGGTTAGTCGCTGGCTTCCCACCACGACAGTCCAGGTTCGATCCCGGTCTGGTCAAGTGGGATTTGTGGTGGACAAAATGGCGCTGGGGCAGGTTTTCTCCAAGTACTTCGGTTTCCCCTGCCAATCTTCATTCCACCAATTGCTCCACAATCACCCTCACCTATCATCTGGGGCTGGTACAATAGGCCAGAAGTGGCCACAGTACAAAGGACTTAGTCCCACCCCACTAGCAATAAAAAAAAACACGAACTGATCTCTTCAGCTGTGACAGTTTGAACACAAGTTCCCTGAGCTGATCTAAACAGTTCACAGCATGCAAAGGGTTAAGCAATCATCTCCATCCACCTGGCACATCCTACCTCTTAGTTCTGAATATTCTTCTCAGCACTGTATTTCCAGACACCCTTAATCTATGTTCTTCCCATAAGGTGGACAATTAAGTTACACCTATAGAAAATAACAGCTAAATATACGGTTTTATATATATGGTATTAAACCTTGAAGTTTAAATAGGAGGTGGGGGACAAAGTTTCTAACTTCTCCATATTTAATCTGACAGAAATTTCTTTGTGAATATATTTGTGGTTTATTTATTATCGTTTCATTATATTTGAACTTTTGTCACTTTTCAATGGATTTATTACCTACCTTGAGGGGCACATGGTAGCGTAATTGGTTGAGGCACTGTACTAGAAACCGGAAGGTCTCAGGTTCAATTCCTGATGAGGTTATTGGATTTTACAATTCATCTAATCCTTTCATCTGCACTACAGCCCTGGGGTCAACTCAGCCTCTAATAGAAATGAGTACCAGGAACCATCCTGGGGGTAAAGGGCAGCCAGTACCTAAGGCTGACAACCTCGCCACCATCTGTAAGCCGATGGTCTAGAAAATGTGGAGCCCTGACATCCCACAACTCTATGGGCTTCTACAGCCTGTTACAGGGATAGCTTTACTCTCTTTTTTTTTCCCCCTACCTACAATAGGTCCCATCCTTTATGTCGTAGCAGATCTTCACAGAATATGCAACTCTTGTTATGGCTCTTTTCCTTTTTGTATAATCTAAGTAAGTGGCATGGTGGCTACATATAATTTATATTTAGTTTTCAGTTTGATGGTGATAGCTAATGAATTAGAATGGGAAATTTTATATGAACATAAACACACTTACAGATATTATGTGTAACATTTTATTGAGAGTTACGAACATGATGATAATGTAAATCTTTACAGTTATATCAAATAAATTAATGGTGAGAGTCTGTACTGAGGACAGCTATGCATATATACTGATCACCAATTAACTGTTATTAATTCACAGTTCTTACTAACTAAATAGCACAGAGACCTTCTTGAGAAACTAACACTTTTTCAGATTGTCAAGAAATTCCAGGTATTTTAGGAAACCAAAAGGTTCATTACCATGTTCACAAGAGCTGCCATGCCAGACAAATCCAGTCCATATGCTTCCATTCCACTTCTATAAGATCCATTTCAATATTATTCTCCATTTTATGGCCATGTTTTTATAGAAGTCCCTATCCTTCTGGGTTTACTACCAGGACTATACATGCAATTCTATTCTCTCCAATACATGCTACCTGTTCTGCCTACTTCATCATCTTCAATTTGGTTATCTTGATGATATCTGGAGAAGAACACAAATTATGAAGCTTTTTGTTATGCAGTTTTCTCCAGCCTCCTGTTATGTACTCCCTCTGGGGTTCACGTATTCTCAGCACCCTATTCTCAGATACCATCATCTGTATTGTTTCCTCATTCATACATACATACAAAACAACAGTTAAAATTATAGTTCTGTATATTTCATTCTTTATGTTTCTAGATGGAAGATGAGACAGTTTCACAGGATCCAATAGCTATCTTCTTCTTAAGATTTTGTCCTGCATTCTTCTGATGACATAACATATGTTAGTTTTTGTTGCATTAATTTCTAGAGCTTGTGTAGAATAGAACTTCAGTGTTTTTCTTTATGGTATCTATATTTTCTACCCATATATTAACATCAGCACAAATATGAAGCTTGTGTGTCCCTTTCAATTTAAATCACACCTGGTTTTCTTTGACCTTCCTAATGGCATGTTCTTAAGAAATTTCAAAAGTAATAATGATAGAGCATCTCCTTGTTTTCAGGCAAATCTGAACGTGAAATGTATTAGACAAATTTTCACCTGTATGAACTTACTTTAGGTGTAAACACATTTTAAATAGCCTAACTAATTTTATGTATGTACAAATTCAATGAGAATATTGTACATGACATCTCTCCTAACTATATCATGGGCCATCTTGAAGTGTATTCTGTTTCATTCCACTTTGATTTGTTCTCCAGTATATATGTTGAAAGCAGAAAATGCAATCACTAATCAAAATCCACACTGATGATCCCCACTAATTTCATCTAATCAGGGGTGTACCTTGATATATAATATTGGGTAAAATTTTGTATGCTGTTGACAACCATGATAAACCACAACAAATACTCTAATAAACAGGCACAATAGGTAACATACAGTTTTTTTTTAATTCACTTAGTGGGGGGTGGAGTCCAACTGGGTCCACTTGGCACGGATGCCACTGATCGGCCTATTGTAGCCTGCCCTGGGTGATTATGATGATGGAGAATTTGGTGGAATGAAAATTGGCAGGGGAAACCAAAGTACTTGGAGAAAACATGCCGCAGCGCCACTTTGTCCACCACAAATCCCACTTGACCAGACCCAGGATCGAACCTGGGCCTCTGCGGTGGGAAGCAAGCGACTAACTGCTTGAGCTATGGCACGGCCTTACATACAGTACTTACTAGACTCACCATGTAGATTGAAGCATTGGAACAAGGGTTGGTGGTGATATATTCTTTCCAGAACTTTTTGTATATTGTGTGGTTTGTTGATATTTTACCTTATTAGTGATGCAACACTATATGATGGTATCACAAACAAAGATAACCAAAGGAAGATGTAATGAGATAAATTACAAGACAAGAACCGGAAGTGGTTCAGAAAATACCTCACCTGGATGAATATGTCTTTATATAAATATAAAAGCAAAACTTGCAAAGAATAGAAAGAAAAGCATAAATACTAATACACAATTACAGTCATGTTACCATGCATATAAATACATAAACAATATATAGTCCCACAGTGAATCAGAAAACAACACACTGCTTCCTACCAACAGCACTTAATCAGGACCAAAGGCAAGACCTGCATTTTACTTCCACTGATTTTACTTTCAAAGAACAACATAAATATCAATAGTAATCACAACAGTTAATAAAATGAAACAAGACAGTTTGTACTGGCAGAAATAAACTGTGAGCATAATGCTAACCAACACAGTGTTTACAGATGTTCCTATTTGTATTTTCTCATATATGTACTATATGGATTACTGAAGACTTTGAGAAGGGTTCTGCATTTTGATATAGCTCTCACATTAGGCTTCACCTCTGACACACTGCCTAATGCAAGAGTTATATAACAGCTGTGAAGACCCCTTCCAAAAACTTCTAACTCTGAAGATGGCTACTGGAAGGTCTGCCAAAACACTGAAACACCCTCAGCATTCAACATGCCCTAGTCCTCAAAGCTAAAGCTACACAAACAAGAATTTTTATTTTCTATTTCATTATGGAGAACGTTTCTAACCATCACCCATATTAAACTCTCAAAACTGTTGTATTCTTCATTGACATTTCGGACCTTAGCATTTGAAAGTATTTGGTTTCTTTCCTAAGAACATCTGTAATGTCCTGATACTCTATTACATCATACAATATATGGGGACAGAGTTCTTTTCATACATTGGCTTCATTTCCTGAGGTATCTAAATAAGAAATAATACAAAACATTTCTTTCATGAAATAATAAGGTAAATTCTCCCTCTGCCTTCCTACTGTCTTTCTTACCCATGGTAACAATGTGGTCTTGGAGTTACAGTCAGAAAGGACTGAGAGGGGATTATTATTTCTTTCTCCCCATGCTGTTTCTTGAAATATCAGAGAACTGCCTGTTATGAGGCTGTCAGGTAGGGATGCAGAAAGGCAGGTACTCTTGAGTAGCAGGTAAATGATAGGAATTAAATGCTCAGTGGCAGGATTGGTCAAAGAGTGAACTGATAGACTGACAAGTTAGAACGGCCACACTCTGAATTCCTGAGAATGTTGCCACAGCATGACCAATGACGCTGACCAGGGTGGCCAACATGCCCGTGACCACAACCTCGATAACCACCTGAAAGTAAATTTTCTTTCATATGTAACATTAATTAACAGAGACATAAATACAATTCATGAAAAGAAACTGCTGCACTTGGTATAATTAAACATGATATAATACAAAATAAAAGTATTCTATTTTAAAATTCATTATTCCTTTTCATACTGAATTCTCTTCACAGAGTAAGTGACTTATTTTTATCCATGTAGTTTTATAGTTAAGAGTATTATCTAAAAAAATTACTACCAGGAATCTTCCTCGGGCAAAGGGAGGATAGTGCATAAGACTGACAACCTCACTGCCATCTGGGAGCCAACTCTTTAGAAAATGTGAGAGCCTCAATGTCTCATAACCCTATGGGTCTCCACAGCCTGTTAGAGGACTAGCTTTACAGTTATATAATAATTTCAAGGTTACTTCTTATGTATGACCATCATCACTTATCACAATGTTCGAAAATAGGTGACTTCAGCAGCACTGTCAGTTATGTACTTTAATTAAACATATGTGGTGTTTATATACATGTAGATCTAGAAATTCAGATGGGAGAAGCTTAATTTAATTTAATTTAAATAAAATACCACAAGAAAGTTACATTTTTATACACATAATATGAGCTTCAGTTCAAGTTGGCCTCACCTGGCATCCTGCCTCCACAGCCACAAGTAGCTTCTTTACTGCCTCCACTAGAACAGAAGCTGCAGCAGTGGAAAGTGCCATGGTGGGTACGCATGGTCCGCACACGCACATGGAATGGACTACCCTGTTGTACACATTTCCAATACTTCATTTGTTACAATCATGAGAAATGGTATCTTATTGTGGGGTGGGGATAGGGTAAGTAAAAGCATTTTTAAATTGCAAAAGCGGGTATTAGTAGTGGCACATCATGTAGACAAATTTTTAAAGATTACAATGTTTTAACATTGCCTTCTCTGTATATATTGGAGGTGACATGCTTTATCAAAAAATACAAGGCTTTTATGGCAATAAATTCAGACATTCATAATTATAACACACGAAGAAAATTAAATTTTCATGTACAGCACTGTAATACAGCTCTTTTTAAGAGGAGTGTGATAAATATGGAAATTAGTTTGTATAATAAGGTCCCCAATCAAATAAAACAAAGGGAAAATTTTAACTCATTTAAAAACGAATTAAAATCTTTTTTGCTGAAACATTCCTTTTATTCTGTAGATGAATTTATGTCTTTTGATTCATCAGGTGTGTAAATGTAATATGTAGCTGATTAATTTGTTGTATTTGTGTAAAGACAATGAAATTAATGGTAACTAGATCTAGATAATATTATTCAAATGACAAACCCTCCATATTAGGGTGGTACAGTGTATACTGTAAAGATATGCACGAGAATTAGATGTAAAACTGACAATTTCCCTATCCAAATGGTTGTAATACCTGTATGTATGGATTGTTGAATGATAATAAAATGAAATGAAATGAAGGAAAGGAGCACAAAGCACAGGAACAAAATGGAAGGGAAATTAAATTAACAATAAACTCCAGGTGACAATGTTGTCTCTTGCATTGATAATATATTGTCATATGTGAGGGTGACTATAGATGGGGTTTGGATTGGTAAACGGATGTATTGAAAACTTACAAATCCTAACTAGATGTAACTATATCACTGTTGCTAATTCACACACTCTGCAGTTCACTACAGCATGCATTATAACTTATGAGTCTGCTTTATCTCCACCAGTTGTTGCCTAATCATGGATCCAACAGTGTTCTCTGCTTACGCACTCACAGTCTTATGGGCTGGCAACTGTCTTACTACTAACTTCTACTCTACTAGCTGCTGTCCCAAGACTTACGACTCTCTTGTAATCACAGCTGCTGCTTGTTATATAGCATTGGCAAGGGCTGCATAGAAACCACCTCTCAAAGTTATTCTACTGTTGCATCATGTAGCTATCACATGGCGCATGAAGAGAACACAACTTCCCAGTTACTCCATTGTTGTGTGTTACGAATCTGATGCCTACCCTAGTGCTTGCAGAGCCGTTCCCTAGCAAAGACTGTCTCTGGTGGCTTCACAGTTCTTGCTTAAGCAAATATGCCACAATATAATGTAGATTAATTATCAATAAGACAGCAGTTAATTGCTTAATACATTATTAATTAATTAAATTAATTGTTCCATAAATTAATGTTTATAACTAACAAAGAGACCTGCAGTTCTCTGGTTCTTCATTGTAATCCTTTTGGTTGTGTGTTTACTTACAGTACAGGCAGCCACAATTTGATTCCCAATGAGGCAATTTTTTTAATCACTATATCCATAATGGCTTTGAAAGCTATGAATGACTGACCTCCTACCCTCTATAGCTACATATGAGAATAATGAAAGACTGAAAGATGAAAGATAAATGAAAACAAATATTAATACACACACTTACAGAAAAACAAGATTTAGGAAAATCTCTGAAAAGACAAACAAATTGATGGACCATAAAGCTTCAAGCCAGAATAAATCAGAGTACTGATGAAGGTTCTCACTATGAAGTAAATGAAAATGTAATCAATTTTAGGTATTAGTAAGCAGCAAACTACTTAGACGTGTGTGCGCCTGACTGTACAATTTGACTATTTTGCTTTGCATACAGTGAATTACAATAATACACCATAAAGAACAGCTTGGCAAATTGTAGTACCAACATTGAAAATACTTGGGAGAGAGGATCATTTATTTACTGTTTAAAATTGTGGAATAATAGATACAACAAAAAGGCAGAAATGTTATTTGATGATAATATTATTACGCTTTAATTAATTATTTCCAGTATTATCCATTCAGTTTTCTTTAACATTTTGCCTTAGTATTATGGGTGAACTAAAACTAATCATCAGCAGAAATAAGCAGCAAACAGAGGAAATTATATAATGGGAACTTTGTGAATAATCTCTTCTTCTTGTATAAATAAAGCAAGACTGGACATGAAACCCAGGTCAGAACATGACACTTTAATGAGCAAACCATTTGGTAAGGGGAAATCTGGAATAGTGATGGAGAAATGGGAAGATAATATTAAAATCAATTTTATGGAAACAGTTTATAGTAACAAGGATTTGGCTGTCATGGCCCAATGTTAGGATTATTTTAGCGCTGTTTCAGTATCAAAGAGGCAGAAAATATATTTTTTTTTACTCAGTTACAAATGAAAGAAAAAAATTGAATTAAATTAAATTAAAAAGATATAATGGAAATACAGTAGGTGCCAAACTTACAGTACTGAAATGAAAAGACATCCTGTTCATACCTCTGTCTATTCATATGAAGGTCCCTTGCATGACAGAACCTTCTCAAATCCTGAAGAAATGGTCCAATCAGCATGTCCCTGTAGCGTTCTTGGGTGACGGTAAGAGCATTGCCTTCCTCATCCTCAATGAAATAGAGGCCTAATATACCATGTGCTGAGACGGCACACCATATCGTTACACGTGTACTATGTAGCAGTTTCTGGACGATAACATCTGGCCACTCAAAACCAAGGAAGGGAGTTGCCTGGCGACCACTTCCGTATGAACGGAAATAATACTCAAATATGAATACTTTTTCCTTTATCGAGAGACCCTTTCCAACATCTGCACTACACAACTTCCTTTTCACTATTGGGAACACGTGCGGCTGGAGATATACCTCGTCAACAAACGCACATACACATTCGAGATGCGCGAGTTTCAGTACTGCATTTTTGGCGCATACTTTATAAGAAAGAATTAAAAATATGAAGTACATGTTATATAATCATACAGTACAATGACCCTTTGATTTATGATGCTACTGATTACAGACATTTTAATTACTGATCCACCACTCACAGGGTCCCGTAGGTTCTATTATTGATATGTTTACTTCATCTTTGACTGCCAAATTTTCTTTCATCAGAGTGCAGCTCCTGCTAACCAGGATGACATATTTGATCCAGCCTGTGGACCAGCAAGTTACTGCAAATTTCAAGAGGCTTATACACCAAAAACTTTTTCCACAGATATCATGAAGCAATGTCAATTGACTATGGCATAACACTGAACAAAACCTAGAAGACAAAATTTAACTTTCTGGAGGCTGAAAGGAGTTCTGTGTCAGCATGGAAAGAAATTTCAGTACACAGCCTGAATGCTGCATAGAAATCCTCTGGTCAGCAATTCAACGAGATTTTGAGGGGTTTGAAGATGCTGTTGTCAATAAGGAAAATGCCTTGCTTGGAGAATAAATGATGATAGTCGAAGAGATGAAACATGTTATGTGACTGATATAACAAACTGACTTGTTTCCACATGATTTGTTTTGTTTTTCGCTAGTGGGGGGAGGGCGTGGAGTCCAGCTGGGTCCACTCGGCACGGCGGCCACTGATTGGCATAATGTACCTGTCCCAGGTGATTACGATGATGGAGAATTTGGTGGAATGAAGAATGGCAGAGGAAACCGAAGTAGTCGGAGAAAACCCACCCCAGCGCCACTTTGTCCACCACAAATCCCACTTGACCAGACCGAGGATCGAACCCGGGCCGCCATGGTGGGAAGCCAGTGACTAACCGCTTGATCTATGGCGTGGCCTGAATCATTTTATTATACAACAATCAAACCCTAGTTCTTGTGTGATGGCAAAAAACTTTAATATTATAAACTATATTCTTACGGTGAAGAAAGTCAACTTCTGAACAACTTGGAACAAGTTATGCCTTTAACATGTATTTCCTATATCCAGTTAATGACAATTTCAGTTAATGATGGTTTTCATGGAACCAATTAATATCATTAACTGAGGGACTCCATTGAAACAACTCAAAAGATCATGTGATAAGAATACAAGGTACACAGTTACCGAAAGTAACAAGGGAATATAGAATAATGAGATAGGCAAATTGGATGATCTAAAAACAGATGAAATCGTCAATTTCAGATGAAAACAGGTGATGCCAATCAGGTCTAAATCATTGAAGATACTGCTGCTGTTGCTGCTGATGTTGATGATGAACACAAATCAAAACAATAATGAAAACTATCTGAAAATAGCTTACTGGGATAAAAACTCTAGTTGAAATATAAAATGGAAAGGATGCTGACCAGATCAGAATAACACTTTGAAACACAAAATGGAAGGGATGCTCACCAGTTCAAAATAACATTTAGGATGAAAATTTCTAACTGAAACAAAATGAGAGGAAAGCTGAATATATACTAACATTATTAAAACTGCAACATATTAAGTAATTAGAAACAATTAACAAAATAACACACTTTGCATGCTATCATAAAGAAAGCATTTGTAATAGAGCCTATTGTTTTAGATGTTTCACCTTAATTGGTTTTCCTTGCACTGACACAGAGAGGCTTAAGTTGCCTGAAGTGTCAGGCACAAATGAGATTAGATATGTCCCATCTTGTTGGTCTGTCACTTTTACTGGAACCTTTCTGTAACCAAAAAATTAAAGTGAGAAACAGGTAAGTATGTTTAGTACTATTTGGTAAAAAAAAAAGTAAAGTTATTCCTGTGCGTAATTAACTAAGCACTATCGTATGAAGATATGTGGTAGGGATGTTATAGCTTCACCATTCTTGACCTCAGCACTAGATGGAGGTGAGTAGTCAACTTCACCCCCCTTGCCCCTTGAACTTCAGGGTAATTACTTCTCACACCCCTTGTATAGGAGGCAGGGTTGTTACCAGAGCTGGGCTGGACGCTGTAGATAAGAGCAAAATCTTGCCTATGCCAGGAAATGAACCCCAACCATTCAGCCTATAGCCTGTTGCTATGCTGCCTGAGCTATCCAAACTCCTTAGTACTATGCACTAGAATTCATTATATCAAGCTTTCTGGATTAATATTCCCACTGAAACTGTTGATGCCTCCACAATCCACAAGATCTGCCATGTCAGAAGAACACAGAAAACCGACTTCCAGAATTGGTGACAGACTACAGACACATTAGCAAAAGGTATCCATAATGACTTGTGAACCAAATCACTAAATGCGAATAATTAGTGGACTTGGTAAACAAGAGTCATGCAGGCAAATTTTTAAAGATTATGGCATCCTCATTGTCACATCTTTGTATATCTTAGAGGTGTTATGTTACATAAAAAAGCACAAAGCAGATTTGATTCAAATTTTTAATATTCATAGTTATAATACAAGAATAAACAAGGATTTTCATATTCAATTCTGCAGAAATACATTATTTTAAAAAAGTGTGGTAAATATGGGGATAGAATTGTATAGTAAGGTGCCAAACAAAATAAACTCAGTGGGTTTTTCAGCTTTTAAAAAAGACCTAAAATCATTTTTATTGAAATATTCTTTTTATACGATAAATGAATTTGTTAGTTTTAATAAAAAAGTTGATGGTGCAAGTACTTATGTTTGGATGTCATAGCCATTCATGAGATGTATATAGTAGTATATTTTTTTGAATATTGTATTTATATATTGCTTATGATTGTAACGAATGTTGGTAGTATGCTTGTAACTTTGTAATTTATTTTGTTAACTTGTATTACCGAATGACGTTACAAGTGTTACTATGTAGCAAAAGGGATGAAATAAAATACAATAAAATACAATACAATGAATGATGATTCTATTTTCTTGTTATACAGAGGGCAGTCAAAAAGTTCCCGGAATTCCCCTGCAGACGAAGAACGAGCAATAAGATAGCACATACACTGTTGTGGTGGGAAGCTCAGCATGTCTGCTTGCAGACACAACAGGTCTGGACAGGTTTCAGTGTGCAGTGTCGTTACTGTTCTGTTTGAATTAGACGTGAGTGTTGGTCATTCAGTGCAATGTCACAGTTCAAACAGCATGCGAACATCATGTTCATGTGCAAATTGGGAAAATCTACTTCAGAGACGCTATTGGCCCTGCAGCAAGTTTGCGGTGATACTGCACTAAAGAAATCTGCCATTTACAACTGGTTTTCCCGGTTTAAGAATGGGCAGGAGGCGTTAGAGGATGACCAGTGCAGCAGGAGACCTTCGACATCCAGAACCAAAGAAATGATTGGAAAAGTGCAACAACTGATTTGATGTGATCGAAGAATGACCATCATGGAGTTGGAGCAAGAAGTTGGTACTGTTACTGGCCATTTCTATGTGCAGGTTTTGCAGAGGTAGCGCGATGCAGTTCAGAGGAAGCGGCACAACAAATGGCAGGGACAGGGGTTTCTGCATCACGATAATGCACCAAGCCACACATCGCTTGTTGTGCAGCAATTCCTCGCCAAGAAAAACATTCCTGTCATCACTCAACCACCGTACTCGCCGAATCTCGCTCCAAGTGACTTTTGGCTGTTCACTACTATAAAATGGGCCTCAAGGAAACACGTTTCACAACCATGGAGGACATCAAATTGAATATGATGGCCAAGCTCCGGAAGATTCCAAAAGAAGCCTTCCACTGCTGCTTCCAACAATGGCAAGATCGATGGAGCAAGTGTGTGTGTGCACAAGGGTCCTACTTTGAAGGTGATTAGGTAAATGTTGCCATATGTCCTACCATTAGAGTGCTATATGACCATTCTAGGAGCTTTTTTTACTGACCCTCGTATGTAAGTTAATAACTTCTTCACCATCAACTGCGTAATAGGTCTTGGTATCAGAAGAAGCATGCTACCTGTGGCTGGTATCCTTGTACCATACTTCAGCCACTACCTTCTCCCCACCATGACGTAGGGGGCGACCATCAGCATCTCGTGTTACCACCATCGTTTCTGCTTTCTGATGCTGGCAGACATCCATCAGACCTGTAAACGAATTCGATGCATCAAGTTACATGTTCCAAGAACTGGACCACTTTGTTAAATAGTCTATTTGAATATCACAGCACCTTCAGAATTACAAGTAACTATATTAAAAAGTCCCTATCCTGAGTAAAAATATGATATGATAAATATATGTAAAGTTTGCGTTTTAGTTTATCTAAAAACACTTTCTCAACTATGTAAATTGTACAGTGTTCAAATGGAGGTTGATCATGGAAAATATCACCTGTGACCAGTGACCAAGTACAGTCTTTCTTGATTGGATGAATCCAATTTGGCTGATGATAAGAAAATCATGCAAGTGGTAGCTCAATATGCCTTATGTGAGAAATATGTGAACAATGAGACTGTCAGCTGCATTAATATGCAACGTTTCTGTTATTGTTTACCTTATAGAGCCATCACTGTACCTGCAAATAATTCGCTAATGTGTACCAGTTCTCTTTGTGTTCATAATCTTGCAAAATCATTCAGAAGGTTGGTTCATATTTTCATTTATTTTAGTGAACTGAAATGGTGGAATATATACTTTAACACTGTGACAATATTTTCTTTCAAATTATGTCACATTTAAATAACTATCTCTAGAAGCAGAGTTTTCTTTATGAGTTATCAGTTGTTCATCTAGTCAAGAAATTTTGTTTATGAAACCTGAAGATCCATTACCATGTTCGCAAGAGCCCACCACATGAGTATCCTGAGCAGGGTGAATCCACTCATTGCCATAATTATTTAAGATTAATTTCAATATTAACTTCCTGTTTATGCCAAAGTTTCCATTCAGGGTTATGACCAACAATTTTCTACTCAGTTTTTATATACAATGTGTGTTCTACAATTTCAACCAACCTCTTTCATCTTATTTCGATCATCCTAATAATATTGTAACATGTCGGCAAACCAGAGGAGTAACTTCTATGGAAACGCTACAATAGACCGTTACAGAGGAGATAACAATTGCTCCATTGTAATTCTAACAGGAGTCTCCATGGTTATAACGGAGGGTTCGTTGCCTAACAGCGGGCAAGGTTACAAATAGCCCAGCTTCGACACTAAGCCTAGAGTGTCGGAATAGTCTTCGAAGAAGAAAGTCGTCAGCAACCCGTCGAAGAAGCCAGTCCTGGAATATCCGCTGCAGAAGATAGTCTGCGATAAACCGCCAGTGAAGCCAGTCCAGTGTTCGCCGAGTTATTGTAAGCAGTGACTGTAACACTGCAGGCGAAAATGATTGTAAAGTGTGTAAGTGAGCGAAGGAAATAAATTCGCTATATTGGGACAACGGCGTGAACTTATTTGTAGCGTGACACACGAAACACGCTACATTGGTGTCAGAAGTGGGATGCGAGCTTAAACACGCCTTGATTTAGAAAGAAGTATTGAATTGACAAAATAAATGGAGAAGCAAGACATTCAGCTACTACTTGAGATGCTGGCAAGAATGGACGCCAAGGCGTCGGCCGATAGAAAAGCCTACAAGGAAGAAATGGAGGCAAACCGGGCCAAGGCGGAAACCAGACACCAAGAGATGATGGCCGACCTGAAAGCATGGCGAGAGGAAATGGCCGCCACGCGAGCTGAGAAGTTGAAATCCTGGGGGGGAGAGAGGAGAACTACCCACGTGAAGATTGAGCCCCACCCGGAAGCGATGCAGTCCGTGCTGGAGCATCGAGAGGTCCCCGTAGGAGACGCCCCGAAAATACCGGTTGGAGAACCGAAGAAACGGCGTAGGGACCAGAAACTGGCCGCGGAACGCCGCCGCCAGGAACCGAAGGATTCGGCAGGGGAAAATCGTGGACCCCCGAAGGAATTGGCAATCACAAGCAGAAAGACATCCCGTCGCGCGACAGTGGCACGACGTTGGAGAAACGACTTCAAGAAGGAGACTCCCAAGGGAACCTTCGGATGCCAGCGGAAGAAACTGGCCTTCACACACAGAGGGTTGAACCCCCGTGCGATAGTGGCACGGCAGGCAAAGGAGACCGGCAAAATGACGTCCTGTCCAGGAATGGCCTGGCGCAAGAAAAGCATGGTTGGGAGTAACAGCGTCGGGACCACGAGCGAGCGAGCAACCAACGCGGAGAGAAGGGCCGCTCAAGGATTATTATATGAGATTATATGAGATCTACGCTCCGGGAAACATGAAACAATTTTCCAAGGAACCCAACAGGGAGCGGGGAAACAAGAACTGGACGCTGTGGAGGGGTTGACCCCCTCCAAAACGCAAAAAGGGTAACGACCCTTATGGGAGGAACCGGTAAAGTACCGGCCTCCCCAACAAGGATGCATGAAGAGTGAAAGTGAAGGATGAATGTGAGGCAACGAGATCGGCAAACTATCGGCTGGGGAAGTGCTCGGGACGAGCACAGACGAAGAGAGGGGCGGATACGGTTAGAACGAACGGCGCACAAATATGCCAGCAGACACCAAGGCCGAATGCAGACGTGCAAGCAGAACACCGCAGAATCGAAACCGAGGGAGAACCTTTAGGCTGTTCGGGGACGAACAACCTTTAGAAGGGAGCAGTGTAACGTGTCGGCAAACCAGAGGAGTAACTTCTATGGAAACGCTACAATAGACCGTTACAGAGGAGACAACAATTGCTCCATTGTAATTCTAACAGGAGTCTCCATGGTTATAACGGAGGGTTCGTTGCCTAACAGCGGGCAAGGTTACAAATAGCCCAGCTTCGACACGAAGCCTAGAGTGTCGGAATAGTCTTCGAAGAAGAAAGTCGTCAGCAACCTGTCGAAGAAGCCAGTCCTGGAATATCCGCTGCAGAAGATAGTCTGCGATAAACCGCCAGTGAAGCCAGTCCAGTGTTCGCCGAGTTATTGTAAGCAGTGACTGTAACACTGCAGGCGAAAATGATTGTAAAGTGTGTAAGTGAGCGAAGGAAATAAATTCGCTATATTGGGACAACGGCGTGAACTTATTTGTAGCGTGACACACGAAACACGCTACAATATTTTGTGAAAAGCACAAACTAGGAAGCTCCTTATCATGAAGTTTTTCTCCATACTCCTGTTACTTCTTTCTCACATCCAGTTGTTCTTTCCAGCAACTTGTTCTCAAACACACGCAATTTATATTCTTAAGGTGACAGTCCAAGTTTCGAAGCAATCAAATGAAAGGGAGATATTCCATATCAAAAGAAGTAGTTTATTGTGTCACAATTTGAGGAGGAAGAAGAAAAAAAGCAGACAGAAAAGAGCAAGGGATTGAGAACAGTTGCCAATGCTGCATTTAATTTTATGATATTTCTGTTATGCATGTTCACTGCATAATTCACTACATTTCTTGCTCAGATATCTGAGGCAATAACATCAGTATGTGAAGCATACTGGTGCCCTTGCAGTATACAATGTTAGTAATTTTATATTTCAGGATCCTGTTGCATTGATGTACATTCTATAGTCTTTTTCTTTTTCCATTTATAATGTAACAAATTAGAAACATTAATTCATATTTAATCCATACAATGATCATTAAATGTATAAAATGTTATTAGAATTATTAAAAAATATATACACATGTTATTGTTATGCTGCTACATGTTTCAGCCTTACAAGGCCATTTTCAGGCAACACTTATTTAAGGATTCTAACTCACTGGACGCAAATCTTATAGTATTCTTAATATATGTGGTTGATGTTTGTTCATATCTTTTTGAATTGCAGCTGTTTCTCTGAAATGTATAACACATATTATTAGTATGATTTGCTTTGAATGCTTGGTTATACTATCTTTGTGTATCTAGATGTTGTATTTTGTACTTAGGTGTCATATGGGATGAGTTGTTTTCCCTTGTGTATATAAAGCGTTGCTTTGCAATCCTTGTATTAATTTTTGGTGTGTGACTGCTCTCCATTCACAGTCCACTTCTGTGGGCATGGGTTCGAATCCCACTTCTGACACCAGTGTAGCGTTTTTTTGTGTGTGTCACGCTACAAATAAGTTTACGCCGTGGTATTTGATATAGCAAATTTATTCCACTCACTCACTTTACACACCTTACAATCATTTGCTCTTGCAGTGTTACAATTACTGCTTACAATATCTCGGCAATACTGGACTGTCTTCTTTGGCGGTTTATAACAGACTAACTCTGCGAATGCATTCAACCCGCTTTATAACCTCGGTCGCTGCTATGCAACGAACCCTTTGTTATAACCGTGGAGACTCCTGTTAGAACTACAATAGAGCGATTGTTGTTTCTTATGCAAAGGTCTATTCCAGCATTTCCATAGAAGTGACTCTTCTGGATTCCCGACACGTTACAATAATTTTTACATAGTGAGTGTGTTGCTACTTATCATAAAGTTCATGTATTATTTGAAATATGGGGTTGTGTACCTTGATGTGTGTATTGTTCATGTGCAAGTTTTTTTGCTAATTTTCTAAATATGGTAATTTACTAAAGTGTCTAAAATTCTGCCCTTCTTTCCTGTACTTATGACATCCATAGTATCTGTTACTGTGTCATATGTGTGACTCATGTTTAATATAATTTGAATAAACAGAATTACTATTATTATTTCTGATAGCATGAATATGCTCTTTATATATTTTGTGGAATGTTGGGCAATCTAGACATCTCATCTGATAAATACCACTATTGTTATATTTTTAGTTTGTCTGTGATGTTTTAGTATATTATTAATTGTGTTTCTTGTCTGAAAAGCTATTTTGAGTTGTGTGTTCTTAAAAACTTAGTTATTTGTCTTACTTCTCTTCCACATTATGTAAATATAGCCCATTTTGTTCTTTGATGTTTTTGATCTTCATGTATGTTTTCTTTTCATGAGTGTGATAATGGCTTCTCTAGTAGACTTGTGTTGTATTCGTTATTCTGTAGTATGTTTTAATGGCGTTTTTTCTGTTTGTTTTATTTCTTTGTTACTGGATATGTGTTTAATTGGTTTAATAGATGTTCTATACCCGATAGTTTGTGTTCATATGGTTGACATGAACTATTGAATTGAATTGAATCTGAATTCAATTTATTTACATTCTATAAATCCTAAGCAGGTTAGTACCTTTGGATACAGAACATGTCAAAAGGTTACATACATAAGTACAGGCAATTTTAGCTTAAAAATTAATATAACTTAATTTTACATCATTCTCTATTTACATTGAAGTATTCATCTAAAGAATAGAAGGAATGAGCATGTAGATAATTCTTTAACTCTGATTTAAACTTTTTAGTATCATTGCCCAAGTTTTTAATACTTTGTGGCAGATTGTTGAACACTTTTATGCCAGTAAAGTAGTTACTATAATATCTGTCTGAGTAGGTTAACTGTATATTGAAAATTCTAATTGTTTGTTCTTGCAGTGTATTTTAATGTCTAGATACTTGATTTTCTTGTGTTGCTCTTCCTCGCTGGTAAATTTGTTAAGTGTTTTTCAATGTTAGTTTTGTTTTTGTTATATATTATGGCTATATCATCTACCTACCTATTATATGTAATTATTTGTTTGCTTTTAGAATTGGATATAAATGTTTATGTTACATGTGTTGAATAAATGTTTCTGCAAGTATTGCGGTTGTTGGGGGCATTCCTCTATTTATTTATGATATTTTTGGGCAAATTGGAAGTAGTTCTGTAGCATTACTGTTTTCAGTATATATGTTAATGCAGTTTGAATATTGGATTGAATTTCTGTGTTACTATCTATTATATTGTTAATTATATTTATATCGTTTATTGGTATGTTCGTGTACATGTTTTCAATGTCAAAAGAACATGACAGAGCTAAAACCATTGAAGTGAATAGCAATATAAGAATATGTTCTCAATATTTCTGTTCAGTTTCCTGTATATTAACACACCAGTTGTTCCTCTATTGACATGATCCAAATAGTGTTTTGGGGGGGGACTCAAATGCCAAGAAACTTTCTTCTGAATTTTGTGTAACAATTCCTAAGAGGCTTACAGCTCACATAACAGTCATACAAAACATTATATGCTCTAATTCAGACTTATGCATGTCCTAACAAAAACAGAATCTTGTGAGAACTGCAACAAAACTATTGAAACTACAGTCTTACAGAACTATATTTGTATGCATTTTACAGCAACATGATATAATAACTTAGAAAGTGTTATCATCAGTCAGTTCATGATGGGAAGTTTGGTTCAAAGATGATGTTTCTCTTCTGATTTTATTTGAATGGCCACATGAGCGCACAAGATTAGGGACTATGGAGGACTATATATGAAGTTCCATTCTATGATGCAAAAGTTTGCATCTGCGACGTCCTCAGTGTGAGGAGGATTTGAGACCTTGTATTGTGTGCACATACAATTAATACTGAGAGATTTGTAAGACAGATACAGCAGACCAGTAACCTTCACTCTAAATATCATCATCACAGCTGACCAAGTAGGAATGATAGAAATGCACACAGTGGAAAAGCAGTTCATTGGTGCAGGTGACAAAAAAATACCACTTAAAATGGAAATATATTCTAGTAACATGGAATGAATTAAACTGGCCCAAAAAGCTCACCAATGAGCTCAGTTTTATCAGTGTTGAAACTTCCACTTCCAAACCCAGTTACTATGTTGTTTAACGACAGATAATATAAGTAGGCTGAAACATGCGTTCCTACATCTGCCACAACTGAATACATCTGACGCTTAAAAATATTGGGACATGTTGCGCAACGGAGAACCCCCCCCAGCAGTGACGTGGCAGGTGAGTCAGCGCTCCGTCATCCCCCCTCTGCACGGTGACGTAACGCGCAATGCAGCTGTGACACAGGTAACACAGCGATGTGGCACCGGTTCCTACTGTGACAAGGCACTCATTACATAACAGGCAAGCACTGCGGCCATATAAGGGAACTGCACAGCCGCCGGAGTGAGTGAACGTGTAGCCGTCCCCGGAGACAGTTAGTGTGTGATCAACAGTTTTCAAGGCAGCAGCCTACGAGTGAGTTGAAGTGTGGCTGTCGCTGAGTGCAGTTGTTGTCACTTAAAGTGTATCAGCGGCCGAAGACAGTTCTCCAGTCAGCAGTGAACGAGTAAAAGTGTGATAATCAGTGACAGTTTGTGATAACTGAGAATTAATTGGGAGTGTGTAACACAGTGACACTTGTATAGCTCCCATACTGTGAAAACGTGTAGACTACTGACAATAGAGCGATTTGTTTGTGAATAGGGTTATAAAGTGTGAAACCCTGCAACAGTGTGAACAGATTATTGCGAATAAGGTTATAAAGTGTGAAACCCCGCAACTGTGTTATAATTAATTGTAGCCAAGACTGGTAGGTTGTTAAATAAACCAATTAACAATCTGAACGGCGTCTTCAGTAACGAAACACGTTACATATTTATCAGTGTTGCAACAGAGTGAATGTGTCCAAGAAGATCCTAGCCACTTCTTACATATTCATCAGTAAGTAATTATATACCAGCATCTTCCATAATTTTCATATCAAACATGAGATTCAGAATTGCAGAACAAATGTATAAATGAATCCAATGGTAATGACTTACTCTCTATATTAAGGGTGCAGTACTGATGGGATATGGTCTGAGTGGTGATGATACCAAACAAAGAGTAGTCCTTGAGCTTTCCTGCAGTCTCACTGCGGAGGAACTGCAGACACTCTGACACACGTGGTTCCAGCAAGTTGTTAGCACCACCTCCACCTGAACCAACTGCAGTGCAACACCGCTCCAGTCGATGCAGTACTGGCACCACTAAACTCAACAACTACATGTCATGTACTGTATCAGTAATTCAAAGCCTTACACTAAAAGTGCACATTATATTACACTGCATTACATTGCATTGCATTCCCTGGATCCAGAGTTAGTCAAAATGACTACAGGTTGTGGAATATGTTATATAAATACAAAAACATACGAGGGGGGACCCAAAAATAACCGGAATTTATTTTTGTTATTTTTTATTTTTGCATTTTTATTGAACTGTATATTAGTCCCCTTCAAAGTATTGTCCATGTGCATTAATGCACTTGTCCCAACGCTTTTGCCACTGCTCAAAACAGTGCTGGAATTCTTGAGGCTGGATACTGTTCAAAGCCTTTAGCGTGTTTTCTTTGACTTCATCCACATCACGGAATTGCTTTCCTTTCAGACTTCTCTTCATCCGTGGAAACAAAAAAAAGTCCGATGGAGCCAGGTTGGGTGAGTAAGGTGGATGAGGCACAATCACGATGTTGTTGCTTGTCAAAAACTGTCGGACCGTCAAAGCTGTGTGGGCTGGAGCATTGTCGTGGTGAAGCAACCAATTCGCTGGACCGTGCTCCATGAGATGTTCGTTTCCTCAGAAAGTTTGTCAATGGTCTTTCGACGATCTTCATCAATTGCACGTTTGATTTTGGCAATGTTTTCGTCATTTCTTCCTGTCGAAGGACGCCCGGGGCGTGGCATGTCTTCTGTCGACATGTTGCCAGATTTGAAACCGGGAAAACCACTCGTAGACCCGTGATTTCCCCAAAGCATCATCATTAAAGGCTTGCTGAAGCATCCCAACAGTCTTGGCTGCAGTTTTCCCTAACAGAAAGCAAAATTTCACGCACTCTTTGTTCCTTCTGGTCGGCCATCTCACTAATCGCCAAAGGGTTGAAACAGGAACGCACACAACAGAGCACCACAGACAAACCACTCAACTCAGACTGACGCCAGCTCACTAACAGTCGCGGGAGACCCCCAGCTAATACCACCTAGCAGAACAACTTGTAACTACAAAGCATGCGCGCGCAACAGGTCGGTTCCAGTTATTTTTGGGTCCCCCTTCGTATATACAGTACAACTGAAGTTTTCAAAGAAAAAACAGTGGTTACACATGAGGCTACTCAAAAAATACATCCACATATATACATTAGTACTGTCAACTTATGCTATTTACACAACCTTTAAGTGGAGGAGTCATTTTGTAGACAATAAGTTTTCATCAACAGAGTAGAATGAGTGTGTGTTTAAGTATTATTTTAGTGCTTTTTTTAATCATGCTTTTTCATTCATATGACTTTTGAGATCAGATGGCAGATAATTGAAAATTTTGAGCCCAGCATAATATGTATTTTTCTGAAAGCATGAGAGGTTAGCAGTTGGTTTATGGACATAGTGTTTGTGTCTTGTGTTAACAATGTGTACATCTGCACTGGTCTGAAAATGTTCTTTGTTATTCGTAAGGAAGTTCATTAATGAAATTATATATTCACATGCAAACATTAAGATCTCTAGTCTCTTAAGTAAATCTCTAAAAGAATTATGGGGATTTGACACCCATCATGAGTCTAACAATTTTCTTTTGCAGTGTAAATACCTTTGTCAGATGAATCACCCTAGAAAATTATTCATACTTCATTAAAGAGGAAAACTAAGTGAAATAAATTGATTTGAGATTGTCAGTGTTGCTGTTATGCAACACAGACCTAACTGCACAACATCCAGCTAACCAACACTGCTGCACCATGTTTAAGGTAGATCTAAGGCAAACTGAAGTAGCACAAATGGCATTAATACTTCTATCTGTAGGAAGAAAAAGAGAGGATCATTATCAGAATGAGGAAATCTGTTGGAAACTTGGAGTCGATAATTTAATTCATGAAAATGGAAAGTACCACCCAAGGTGAAAGACAAGTGCAATAAATGCAACCATGGGCAAAGAGACCCAGGAAGACCTAGGAAGAAATGAAAGATCAATAGCATCTTTCTTTTTGAATGAAGTATGACATATCAAAACCTTGGAAGGAAGAAGGAGAAGGTATGTTCATTTGTTATAAGCTTTATGAGTAGGTCCTATTTGTTTGGTTTACCACACAGGAAATGCAAAATGAAAATTACCTCAATGTCAGAACTCTCTGACAAGAGATTCTCAGCAAATGAAACAGCATTTCTGGTATCCTCTAAATGCCTTTCCAACTCCAGTTGTTGTCCATGAACCATACGGAGTTTGGACTCACGAGCCTCTTGCACCTGCATCTGCAGAGATCGTCGATGCTCTTCTAGTGCAGAAATGTATGAATCAATGAACTGGTCAACTTCATCACGCACCTGGCTACACTGCAGCTGTAAAACATCACACACCCTTCAGAATTTATCCAAATTTGATGAGCACCATCATGATTAGATCACCAGTCTGTCAACCTAAGACTGTATGTGTTTTCCTGACTGCTTGAAGGCAGTGGTAGGTCCAAAGTAAAGTATGAATATTATACTTAAGCATCCTGTTGCACTCTACACGATAAATGATACAAACTCCGTCCCAAGTGCAAACAATATATATTATATGTCTTTGGTCTTGTTCTCTTCCACACTACATGTTTCGGCCTCTATCGGCCATCATCAGGTGTATACTCTTAACGCTGCTGCTACACTGAACCCAGTCTAAAATTTAACATTTAAAAACACATTGTTATTTTCTTCGTATTATCAACATCTACCTCGCTGATATGTGTCTGGTATGTAGATTATATTGCACACGTCAAATTTGATTTTCCTGTAGTAGCACTATAAAATCTTTAGTTATAATTTTAAAATCCTTTAAAATTTCTCTAAATTTTAAATTTAAAATTTAAAATTGTTAGGGTTACTCGCCCTATGTCTAAAGTGCTGGAGCGGCTAGTTCTTGTTTCCACACTGTACAGGTGTTATTCAGTGTAGTCTTCCTGTGTGCGTGCCGCTGCTTGTCTTTACNAGCATTTATAGATATATGAATTGTAAACGGAAACTGTTACACTGCAACGCTAACATAAAATTTAACAAAACCTGTCTGAAGGAGAAATTAGTACCAAAATACGCGTACGTGAAAATAACAACAAACAACGAAGCAGCTAAGAAAACAATAAAAAAAAAAAAGCGCACACGTAGTAAAGACAAGCAGCGGCACGCACACAGGAAGACTACACTGAATAACACCTGTACAGTGTGGAAACAAGAACTAGCCGCTCCAGCACTTTAGACATAGGGCGAGTAACCCTAACAATTTTAAATTTTAAATTTAAAATTTAGAGAAATTTTAAAGGATTTTAAAATCATAACTAAAGATTTTATAGTGCTACTACAGGAAAATCAAATTTGACGTGTGCAATATAATCTACATACCAGACACATATCAACGAGGTAGATGTTGATAATACGAAGAAAATAACAATGTGTTTTTAAATGTTAAATTTTAGACTGGGTTCAGTGTAGCAGCAACGTTAAGAGTATACACCTGATGATGGCCGATAGAGGCCGAAACATGTAGTGTGGAAGAGAACAAGACCAAAGACATATAATATGTATTGTTTGCACTTGGGACGGAGTTTGTATCATTTATAAAGTATCAACTTACAACCCCCTTTAATTTCTGCAAAAAAGAAAAATGTTAATTGAACTTCAGTGCCTACCTACCGCTCAGCGTTACAGCCCTGGGTGAGCCTTGGCCTCCTCTACAATCAGTCTCCACTGCTCTCTATTCCTCATCTTCTCTATCCATCCTTTCACCTTCATCTTCTTCAGGTCATTCTCAACATCATCTAGCCATCTCATCCTGGATCTTCGTTTTCTTTTTTTGGAATATAGCCTTCCTTTAACATTCTCTTTGGCATTGCATTATCGTCAATGCTTTCGACATCTTATTCTCTGTGACTGGATATATCTTCTGCTTTCAGTGGTGTGTTTATCTCTTATCCTCCATTTATTTTTCATCACTGGTCCATATATTCTGCATATTATTTTTCTCTCGAACATTCTCAGTGCATTCTCTTCTGTTACTGCCAAGGTCCATGTTTCTACCCCATATGTAACAACAGGTCTTATTAATGCTTTGTATATTTGTAGCTTAGCTGCTCTTGATATTATTTTACTTTTGACTGTACTAAGATTTGCGAAGTAGGCCCTTATTCCAGTTTGTATCCTTTCCTTAACACAATTATCATTTATAATGCCATTATTGATCATAGTTCCTAAATATTTAAAACTACTCACTCCTGTAAATAATTTCCCTTCTACCTTTAAATCTTGTGGTTTCCTTTTACTTTCTGATGTTGACATAATCATATATTTGCTTTTCTTTCATTTGTTTCTAATCCTATCTTCCATGATTTTTCTTCCATTTTCTTACATATCTCAATTATTTTTCTCTGGATCTCGCTATTATGACAGTGTCATCCAAATATGCACATATTTGGGTTGGTTTTGTATAAATTTTTCCTCTCTGATCAATATTTTTTATTACACTGTGTAATGGCACTATGAATAGTACTGCTGATAAACTGTCCCCCTTACTTGACTTCAGCATTAAATTCAAAATTTGCGCTTAGTTTATTATTCATTTTAACTTTTGTTCATGTAATATTCATTGTCATTCGAGTTAGCCTAATCCATTTATCTGTTATTTCTTTCTGTTTCATCACTTCATAAAGTCTTCCTCCATTAATGCTATCAAATGCTTGTCTAAAGTCTAGAAATAGCATATGCAAGTCCATGCTGTATTCAACATACTTTTCCATTATTTGTCTTATACAAAGAGTTAGTTAGTTGTGCTTCTATTTGGGTGAAATCCGCATTGATACTCTCCAATGATTTTTTTAGTTAATTGAACTTCAGTACCAGTACCAAAATACACTTATACTAGCAAATGCACAATGGATAGGAAAGGATTAAAACACATAGTCTAAACATAAATATAATGAATATGTAAGGAAAGGTCTGTGTGTGTCTGGGGGGGGCCACGTGGTAGCGTAGTTGGTTGAGGGGCTGTGCTACAAGCTGGAAGGTCGTGGGTTCAAGTGCTGATGGGGTCATTGGATTTTTTTCATTTGACCTAATCCTTCCAGCCGCACTATGGCCCTGGGGTCGACTCAGCCTCTAACAGAAATGAGTACCAGGAATTAATTAAATAATTTTCCTGGGGAGTAAAGCGCGGCCGGCGGGTAAGGCTGACAGCCTTACCACCATCTTTGAACCGACTGTCTAGAAAATATGGGATCTTCAAAGTCTCACAACCCTATGGGCCTTCATGGCCTGTTACAGCGATAGGTTTACTTCTTTTTTTTTTTTTTTCTTTACTCTTACTGAATGTGTCTTTGTTTCCTGGCTTCATTTCTGAAACCACTGTGAGCAGACAAAAACTGGGTTCAGTTCCTGGTGTGTAGTACATTATATTTTTGACAAATAGGCATTGTTTCCAGGCTAATAAGTCATATTTCTGATAGCAGCATTTGCTCATTCTGATCATGCAGATCATTGCTTCTTTTAAATGTGACTTTTTGGGGTGATGTAAAAGAGAGTCACTGAAATGGCATCTTTTATGCAACAATTCTCAATTTGAGAGCATCACAAATTAAATGCACGTTTTGTTCTTATATGTCTTAATGTATTGTGTGTGAACTCAGGTGGCTGCAAGTTTGTCAGCTATGAGTCACACAAAAGAGAGGGAAGCATGCTGTTGAGTCACTCAGAATTCTGGTTTCTGACTGAGTCATCCAAAAGAGGGGCAAGCACAATAGTCACTCCACAGCTTCACAAATGGCTTGAATGTTTTATCAAGTAATTCAAAATTCTGACTTTTGAATTAAGATATCCAAAGTGACTGATTTTAAAATGTGGCAATAGTCCACTGGAAAAGAAAATCACTTGTTAAGATTACCACTTAGTCAAGCATACATTTGTGTGTGGTATACTGGGTGCTCCTGCTCCAACTGACGCCATTTCCCTCTGGCATGCTCCTTTTCATAGAACAATAAACATCATTTATTCTACAAGTATTCTGTTTGTCATTGTATCATAGGCATATTGTAAAGACTAATCATTGCCATAAACCTGACTCTGAAGTTATCTATTTGTATCACTGATGAACTCTCACCTCACCCAAACTTCTGTAATAACACCCATTCAGAATTCTGAAAAATTCCCAAGCATAATCCAGTCACATAAAATGACCAGTAGTTGAAGCTGGAACAATACTGTGTGACAATTGTCTTGCACAGAGACAATGATAGAGGTCTATTTATATTATAGAATGGATTTTGGTAAATTTTGGTGTTCAGAGGAACAATGCAGTGATTTTAAATGTAATTCATATAAATCCAATATGATTTCTGTTTTGCTTGAAGCTCAGATCAAAGCAGCCCTGTGTAATTTGCATGAAATATATATAATGAATAACATGAGAATCTGCATGCATTTCTATCTGCTTGTTTCATTTCTGACATTACGGAACAGAGTAAAAAGAAAATGTTGTATATTTGGGGGGGGGGGCTGCATTAAATGCTGGTAAGTGAATTTAAGTTCGGTTCATTACTAATCCAAAATAAATCCCATTCTACACAAAGCTCCAACCAGACTTTCTTCAGGTAACACTATTAATCATATGAGTATATTACCCTTTCTTAAAAAGAATATTCCTTTAAGTACAGTATCTTATTGTTGTTTACATATTGGGAATGGAAAATGCCCTGTAATTTCTGAAACATTCATAAGAATGACAACAAAAGACTGACTACAGGCAGTTCCATTGATTATACTGTACCTCTATTCTCTGTTCCAGATGTCGCAGTCTATCCAGGTTTACTACTGCATCTTCGGCCACTGGACGAGCCCTCTCTAGTGCATCTCTCATGCTATGAGCATATACGTCAGCAGCTCGCACAGCAGTATCACATGCATGTCCACGGTGGGCTAACAAGCAGCACTCACGACAAACCACCTGGCCACATGGAGCACAAAACAGCTGCAGTTCTAGTTCTGGGTGAGATGGACACATGGCTTGCCGACGAACCCTTGTAATGCCTCGCTGACGGGCATCATGAAGAGCTAATACTTCATGGTCTGCAGTGACCAGCTGTCGTTGGTGTGCTTCAGAACAGAATTTGCAGAGACTCAGTAGACAATCTGTACATCTGCTGGCAGCCTAAGGAGGAGCAATCTAGTGTTGTATAAAACTAGAGTGGAAAGAAACTACAATTTTTTGTACTTCATGCAGAGAATTAATTCATATTATTAATTTACTGAAGATAAGAAATAAGTATTGCAAAATTAGACACTGGACACTATACTGACAAGTTAAAAAATTGGTTCTCCACCTAGTGTGGTCAATATTCACCATCTTGAAAAGTGTTTCAAATAAAGATATAAAGAGCTTTATAGTTTCTGTCATGTATATTTTTAGTTCCTCATATATGGAGTATATACAGTATGAAGAAGCACTGTAATCATGAAATACAAAATCGATTTAAGTGTTTATCTGCCATAGGTCGGTGTCTTTCGATTGGGCTACAGAAACAAATCGGTGATTTTCTGGGAAACGGCTCTAAAGATTCTGATGGAGAACATCACCCTGAATAAAACTACATAAATGCTAGTAGTTACTCTAGGATTCTGATGATGGTGTATAACACACAGAGATATTGGGTTTTTGGACTTTATCCATCGTCCTGGTTTTTAAGATAACTAAGAAAAACACGACGTTTCGGAAACTGGATCTGTTTCCGTCCTCAGGTGAGGGAAAACACCTATTCTGTTGGGCCCCTTAGAAAGAGCTAGTCTCGCTCACTGGACAACCGATGTCACAAAACACAAATTTTAGGAACACCTGAGACCAGGCTAAGTCCATGAGAGCTGATAAGAAAAATATACATACATAACAAATTATTCCAAACACATACAAGCGTGGAACCAGGATAGATAGAGCCGTAGAAATTTATGTCACGAAACCAAACTATGAATAATAACCAGGTCCATGACCCCACGGCATGGAATAGAAAGGAGAACTAGTAAAAAACTAATAGTGTCTAACTAGCGTCAACAATGGAGTAAATCACGTCTATCTAATTTAGAACCTAATAGAAATCAATAAAAACATATATCATGTCATACAGATCTTCTATGTGAATTGGTGACTTCAGTGCTGATAATGGGGATCCAAATGGGAGAAAAGTCCAAACTAGGTTGGCTAATTGGGTTGGCCGAGCATACCATATAGGCCGCTTCCTTGTATTTCCTATACCTGATGTGGCTTTCAGTATCCAAAATCTTAGCTTCATCCCAGCCTACCTAGTGTCCCTCTTCATAGGCATGTTGAGCTAGTTTAGATTTTTCTAGAAACCTTCTTTGAAGTTATGCCTATGTTCCTGGAGCCGCACGGCCAGAGGTCTGCCTGTTTCGCCAATGTAGCTTCTGCCACATTCACGGGGAATGCTATGGACACACTGTGCCATCTGTTGCGGATCTCTTTTCGGTCTGGTTTTCATAAGAGAGTTCCTAAGAGTGTGTTTCGTACGGAACGTGTTCCTAATATTATATCGATTACCTATCCGTTTAAACTTTTCAAAAACACCCTTCACATATGGAATATATACAGAACACAGAGGGTTTTCTTCTTTCTTCGGACGACTACTGCCCTTGGAATTAATGACCGAGTCAATGAAGCCTTTGGGATAACCGTTCAACTGAAGATCATGTGTCAGGTTGTTAATTTCTTTGACCAAATCTCGTCGATCTTGGCATATGGTGGAGACTCTGTCGTGGAGACTTTTAATCAAGCCTCTTTTTACATGTGGCGCATGGTTAGATTTGAAGTTGAGGTATTGGCCAGTGTGGGTGGGTTTCCTGTAGACTTGTGTGACTAGTGCAGTCTCTTCCCTGATCATCAGAACGTCCAGAAAAGAGATCGCATTGTCTGACTCAGTTTCCGTAGTGAAGCAGATGGAAGGCCTTAAACTGCTGAGGTGGTCAAAGAAATTCTGTAATCTCTCTGGACCATGAGGCCAGACTACAAAAGTGTCATCCACGTATCGCAGCCACAACGATGGTTGGTACGGTGCTGAGTCAAGAGCTAGTTTTTCAAAATGCTCCATGAAAATGTTGCTAACGATGGGCGAGAGAGAATTTCCCATAGCCATGCCATCGTTCTGCTGGAAGAACTTGTCGTCGACCTGAATATAGGTGGTTCTCAAACAGATTTCCAGCAGCTCCATGATGGCTTCGACCTGCAAGACAGACCGTTCTGTCAGTGTGACATCGTCGTGGAGCTTGTTTTCGATGATTTGTAGGACTTCGTCGACTGGTACATTAATGAAGAGACTGACAACGTCAAAGCTAACGAGAGTATCTTGAGAATGATGGTTAACAGTCTTTAATAACTGTACGAAGTGGGCCGAATTCTTAACGAAAGAGTCGGATTTACCAGCAAAAGAACTGAGTATCCTATGGAGAAAGCCGGCCAGTGCATAGCAAGGAGAACCAATCGAACTTACTATGGGCCTCAGAGGAATACCCGCTTTGTGAATCTTGGGAAGACCATACAGATGTGGAGGTTTGCTGTGGTATGGAGTCAGCTTGTATTTTAGATCGGTTGGAAGAGTGGTTTTGTATTTAGAAAGGAGTTTCTGTACTTTCCTCTCCACCTTAGCTGTAGGGTCTTTGGGCAAGTTTTCGTAAACCCCGGACTCTAGCAACGTGTTTAACTTATCCTTCTATTCGGATGCGTCCAAAACCACTGTGCAGTTGCCTTTGTCCGCTCGAAGAATCCTAATTTCCTTGTTAAGTCTCAAAGATTTCACAGCTTCCAGTTCCTTCGTGGTCATGTTAGGTCTGGAAGACTTAGACTTCTCTAGCATGGATCTAACTTTCCACCTGAATTCCGTGCCCGTAGTCTGTGGAAGCTTCGAAACAACAGATTCCACCGCACATGCCAAATCCAAGTTCGAGTGTGGACGTGTTACTGAAAAATTCAAACCCTTCATAAGGACTGCTTCCTCAGAGTCCGTTAAAATATATTTGGATCGACTGAGGATGAATTTCTTAGATGCTGAGGCTGGGGTAGAAGGGGGTTGAACGGTTATCCCAAAGGCTTCATTGACTCTGTCATTAATTCCAAGGGCAGTAGTCGTCCGAAGAAAGAAGAAAACCCTCTGTGTTCTGTTTATATTCCATATGTGAAGGGTGTGTCTGAAAAGTTTAAACGGATAGGTAATCGATATAATATTAGGACCATCTTCCGTATGAGACACACTTAGGAACTCCCTTATGAGAACTAGACCGAAAAGAGAGC